ATTTAAGCAGTGAGGGGTTTCCTCTTGTTTAGTAAAGTTTAGAATGTATTGCTTACTAAAAATATGGAGAATCAGACCTTGTAGCACTTTTATTGTTGTATCTATTAATAAAATGCTGGTAGCAATTTTTTAACGAATAAAAAAAATCATACTAACAGATTGCACAGGGAATAAACTAAGTGATAAACACAGAGCAGCTCTTGAAAAAACAACTGCTTGTTCAGCTCTACTTCTCCCCTGTTTCACATCCAGGGTTTTTCTGCTACACACATACACACAAACTGAATAATTTTGAATATAAGCAGGACTACGTAAAATACTTTTGACTTCATGACACAGAATAGAATTGCTATTTTCTGAGGGTGTCTCATGTCCCCCTGCACTATTTAATTTAATCTTATTGACAACTTTATTAAATACTTTCAGCCAGGGATAATTAATGTATTTATGTAGCCAAATTATAGTATATCACTGCATCTTTTTAAAAATTACATGCATCCAACTCTTTAAATAAAGAACAAATATGTTTGGAGAATAAAATAGTACTTTAAATATCTATACTGCTGACTTTGGACACTGAAACATTTTTCATTAATGTAAATGGGGAAAAAAGAGTCCCATTGTGCATCATTTTGCTCAATGCAAAAGGCTTTGAAACTTTTTTGCAAATCCCAAACCAAAACTTGAGCCTGTGATCCAAACCCCACTATCTTCAATGAAAAGTTTTCCACTCCTTTTAGCGTGCTTTAGACGCAGTCCAACCCAAGCCATTTCCAAACAAACTTTACAAGGGCATTAAAAGTAGAATTACTGTTGCGATTCTTCTAACCATATTTTGGTGTTTAAATCGCTCAGAAGAAAACACCAACAACACATGGCGAAATAGTAACAAAAGCATTTCCATTCAGTCTTTCACTTCTCCTTGTTAATTTAATCTGTCGCCATTCTGTCCTTTTTGCTTGGGCTATGATAAACCAAGCATAGTAATCATCCATTTGGCCTGGAAAAGGAATCCAAAGGCCTAGAATCAATTCTCACATGTTGAACCCAACCACAATACTGTAGACATGCTGACTTTACAATATTGTCAGGCTTCTAGTTTCCTCTACTTTAATCACTATCTGATGAGCAGAACAATTCCAGCTGATTCATATGGACACAATTTAAATCCCAGACTGAAACAAGGGTGGAAATAATGTTTCCTTTTAGTCGCTTGGCATTCTTTCTCGGATTCGTTAGAATAATGAGCTCAATATGCAGCACAATCGAAATAAAGAGAGTGAGAGAGAATACATTTAATGTACCTAGCGCAGACAAGCTGTGAGCGCAAAAGAAAATGAAACTCTAAACACAAGCAAACAATGTATTTTTAAAATAGGATAAACATCAGGGTGGAAAGCATGTTTCAAAATAACACTTCATGAAACAATTACTGTACACAATACTATAATCAGCTGCTATCCCAAGAATAGGCAAGCTAAGTTGACTTTGTTGATGGGTGAGTAAAATGATCTAGGTCCTTCTCGTCTCTTGGATTTGCCATTTGAAACAGTTAATAGGAATTGGTGCCAAGGGATTAAACAGCTAATCTATTCCAAATGCAGACATATTTCAAATGTATATATTTGCATTGAGATAAACATTAACTTTCAAAAATTCCTTAGGCATCTTTCTCTTAACAATATTTACATTTCTCATCTCAAGAGAACGATGATATTCTTTAAATGTAAAGAATCAGATAAGTTGAGCAGTTAATATTTTTAAATCCTAGTAACAATAACAATTTGTTGCATGTATATGCTACCCAATTCCCAGCAACTTTGGGTAGTTTACACATTGATCAAAACCCTAAAAACAATAATAAGAAACAAACAACAAACCAAAGGGTAAAAATGGCAGGAAAATGGAAAAACAAGCCACGTTACTCGTAACTGGAATAATAAAATAAAAACATAATGCCAGAAATAAAAGTTCAGAAAAACATTGGAAAGCAATCGTTTAGATTCCTTATTGTGATGGCATAAATCTGTATCTACAAAACAAATGATCTGATATATATATAAATATGAAAGGTGAAAGATTAAATAATATTTCTGACAGACATCTTGTTCTGGTAATACCTCTGTATCCTTCTCATAAGCCTGTGTGAGCTTCTGAATTTCATTTTTATATTCTGTACAACACGCTTTCTCTTTCTCCAAGCAATGCAATACGTTTTGTAGTTCCATTTTTAATGTAGCTATTAAGGATTCTCTGTCTGCACACTTAGTTTGCAGATTATTTAACTCCTTCTTGGTACCAGTGAGACTGTCATGTGTTACCTAAAAATAGGAAAAGAAAGATAAAGGCTTTCATGCAATAAAGCACAACCTTCTTTATCTGATAACTCTTTTCAGATATACATGTCTGAAAGCTCCACAAACAAGACCATTTACTCCAATAGTTAACTACAATAACCAAGCCACAGAATTTAAAATTAAATGTAAATTAAACAAAGCCACTAGTGTGATTCCAGTTGGAACTGTTGTTTTACTTTTACGCTTGTTGCCCTGGCATTTTTCAAAACCATCATCACACATTAATAGTCTTAAACCCTTTATTCTGAAGATATCCCGCTGAAGCTAATAAAATCCCTTTGATTAGAACTTTTCAAGGTTACAACTACAATTGAGACAAAACTCATTAGAAAAATATACACTTAGCTTTAAGTTAAGACAGAGATACCTGAAGTTCTTGAGTTTGAGATCTTAGCTGGTGCTGGGAAGCCTCAAGTTCTTTTGCCATCTTCTCAGAAAGAACTGTCATTTTCTCCAGCTAGCAAAAAAAAAAATGTAATAAACAATGCATCAGATTCAAGAGAAATGAAATTTCAACATAACTGCCTACAGACTAAAGCTGAAATTTCATGCAGACTGATTTTCCTGGGAGTAAAATGGCCAATGTTACAGCAATGGGCAGCTTGACACTAAATTAAAGATGTTGTTGCTTTTATGGTGATGTCCCTGTCTGCTGTATATTAGTATCTATAGCTATCTTATGTATATACTTTCCATCTACAAGGATTGGATTCCCCCAAATAATTTATTAATTTAATGCAGCAGTTGCATGCACATTTACTTGCAAGTTTCATTAAGTTCAATAGGAGCCTGCAGATTTAGGCATTTAGCCTCACAGTCTCAGCCTGACTTGGCTTAAGTGGTAAAAACCACTAAGTTGCTCAAACTGAACAAATCAGTAGAAAAAGGTGATCGTGACAGGTGTTTTTTTAAATGGCCATGGAAAGTTTATAAGCACAATAAAAGTAGACTCCTCCCCCCCCCAATATGGCTCTGGTTATCTCATAATTTAATTGCACAAAAAAAAGTTTAAGCTATTAATTACCCTGCAAAGAAAACAGAACACCAGAAGACAGGAGTGCTATCAACAAGGCAAAGAAAGGGCACAGAGCTACCCCATCTGCCTATCAGGAGGGAGATGCTGGGTCTCTGCCTCCATATGACAACTTCGGGGTCAGGCCCATTCAGTCCTACTGGGAAGTCTTGTGGCAGGTCATCTGTTGGCCCTGGACTGCTTGCAATTTATTTTCCTGACAGTTCATTCTTCTTGCTGACAGAATATTCTTTCTGCTTCTTTTTTTTTTTTTTAACAGTCACCCCTTCGGGTCTCTTCCCACTGCTATCTCTGGCATCAGTTCACAACAAAACATGCTCCTCAGCCAAAGCCTGCTGAGCTGGCTTTTCAGTTGTGTTGAAGATCAGGTGATGCTCATCCTCCCAAATAACAATTCACAGCGGAAATAAAGGGCCTCTCGCCTCAAAAGGCCACTTTAAACATGTGGGATGTTAACAAAAGAAGCTATAGGCAAGGGTGGTAGTGTAGCAAGACGTGTAACTGCTTCCCTTGTGACTTATTTGGTGGCTCTCAGATGGCAGAAAAGACTTGACTGCAAAAGAGTTAAAACTTAGCTGTTGTTTTTCAATATTATAATGGCTGAACCGCATTCTAAAGTAAGAATTCTGTATTTTTTTTATATATTTAAGTCAAAATTGCAACAGTTTGCTAAAACAAAATCTAATCTTTTTCATGTATTTAAGTTGCACAAACCTCACAGGTTTTATAGCGCTATCAATAATTCCATTAAAATGAAAAACTGAACTGAACACTCTGAGCAGGTAATGAGACGTATGGGGCTGTGAGAAGTCTTATAAAGTTCAATTAGGTTTACTCTTGAGTAGAGAATACATAACAATCCAAGCTGACAAAAATTCAAGAATACATGCTTATGTACACTGTGGGGGAACAAGGATCTATTTAAACACTTAATTTTAAACACTAAAAAGAAAGTTATAACCAGGTTTAACTCTTTCTAGTTTGAGGATGTTAAGAAAAATGCTCCAGGAACATATTTCTTAAAATGCGTACATTTTACATTAAGAGAGCAAGAACACAAATTCTAACACTTACCCCTCCAATGCTAAGGTCTCTACATTTATTCACCTGCTATCAATTTGGACTGGATGTAAACACATGTAGTATACTACTTGAACATAGCTTTATATTTTGCAGTGTACTGTATGTTAAATCTCAAATGGATAATAAAAATCAGTCACGCACAGAGCTTCACTTAAAATAATTGGGCATTGCAAATTTCAACACACAAAAAAAACCAATCACACAAATACCTACACAGAGCCGAACACGTTCTTAAGTTAAAGTGAATCATGACCACGGGGCAAGCTTAAAGGAAGAACTGTGACAAAAAAATTATTTCTTCTTCTTCTTCTTCTTCTTCTCTGCAAAGCTGTCAACTCAACATTCCCAGTGTTTTGACCTCTGTAACAAGCAAGGAATCTCTAGCATTGTGGGCTGAAGGCTATATGCGTGGAGCTGAGCAGTGCAACTGTTACCTCATTAGATGCCTCTTCCTGCTTGTTCTGGTAGTCTGTCAAGGTACACCTCAAAGTCTCAAGGACAAGAGTGAAGCTGGGAGGTTTATCTTTGTCCTTGTGAATGCCTGAAGAAAAATGCAGAATCAAAACAAAGCCCTTAGAGCTGAACAGAGAAAAGAAAACTTCTCCAAGAGCAACAGAGATATTTAAATCAGTTGGGCTCCAGTGACAATACAGAATGTTGAACGACCCCTGTGTTTTCTCCAAGGCACACTGGTGGATCTGTTCTTTAATATCAAATAAAGCTGAAGGAGAATTTTTCCACTATGGCTACAGTTCACCACATGAAAAAATATGAACTCTGGCTTGTTTCCCTACACATCTTGAGGCCTACCTCCAATCTTATTTAAAGGTATCTAATGATTGCAAGTCTGTGTGTCGTTCACAAAAGATCATCCTCCAAAGGAAACAAACATTTGATTTCAAGAGCAGAGCGTTCCGTGCCTTCAGTGATTCATATTCTGCCATGCATTTTGGAAAGAAACTTTCTTTCTATGCCAAGGACTGCAGGGCTTCCTATTTTGCCTGGGTGCAAGTTAAAGCACTTGAAACCTCAAAATATTATTTCTTCTCATACCCTGCACAGAAAAAAAAAAAGAAAAATAAAAACCCAAATGATTATCTAACCTAATTTAGCTGATGGCCACATTTGTCAATAGTGACATCTCCTAATTCCTCTTTTTCCCCAAAACAGTCTTTTGACTGTTCATTAATTAAGTAGTCGTGGCAGACCTTAATCAAGAGTTTAAATCATGGTCCATCAGCCAAGATGTTATCTTTAACGAAATATAAAATTAATAGTTCAGACAATGGCCACTTCATTAGAAGCACAACATCTCAGAGTTCAGACTACCATAACTGACTTCTTTTTGTTATCATTATTATGATTATTATTACTCTGTTGTTTTGCATGTGCATTTGTTTCTGCACCGGTGACAAATTCCTTATGTGTCTAATCACAGTTGGCCAAATAAAATAATCTATTCTATTGCGTTCTGTTCTGTTCTGCTCTGCTTTATCCTGAAAACTGGCACTAAAAATGAAATCGTAAATAGCATACACAGGTATCGGATGAATGGATACTATTTATTTTTAAAAAAAATTTCTGAAGTTACTGGAAGCAGCATGATCTGGATATACTTTTAGCCACTCTGCTTTAATCACAGTTTTCAAAAAGCATAAGTGCAAATGATTGTTAAATCTAACAAAGTCTCATGCTACATGATGGCTAAACAGATGTTCCCAGAATCTTTAATTCTATAACAATATTCCAAAACTGATCCACTATTAGCTTCTATAAAAATTTATATTTACGAAAGGTATCTAAAAGAATATGCAAATAACTTTCTGAAGATGATAGGAGACCACTGTGATTTCTTGAGATATTAAAGATATAGCCTTTATTAAGAGAGTTGTTCCATAGATATTGGTTTTGGAGACCATCAGTTCTGCATCTCACATTTCAAAACCATTCTCATACAAAACAAGGAATCTAAAAAAAATCTTGAAAAAGATATAGATAGATAGACAGACAGACAGACAGACAGACAGATAGAACAATTCTTTATTCTAAAGACTAAAGACCCTACAAGCCAAGGACACATCACTTTATTCACATTGCTTTTCTTTAAAAATAAAACTCTTAAATTGGTTAATTTTATTTTGAAGGAAACGCAACTCCAAGGAGCTTCAATCCAAAATGTGCTTTGTATCTACACTGAACCTCTCCTGTTTCTCATCCACTCATGGTTGTCACTGCAATCAAAATTTTCTGCTTGCCATAGCCACAAATTATTTTTGATAAAAACCATGAAAGTCAGATACCTTCACAACTTGTGGCAAAGAATATTCTAATGCATTTTCCCCTGGATGTCTCCAATCTCTTTGCCGCGGAAGTTGAAATACAAAAAATAAAGTGAAATAAAGCGATTGAAACGAGAGAACAATAAAAAGTGTTTAACTCAGGAATGTTTTGATTTTATTTATTTGATTTCTATCCTGTATTACCACACGGGCATCGCTGAACCTGACCAGATCATGAAGGAAAACAGCTGGCACAGATATCTGTGCAAAGAAATACAAACTGTTCTTTATTACAGTCATCAAATTCAGTGGCAGTTAAGGATGGAGAACACTGCAAACCTGCACCTTTAGGGTAAGTCCAAAACAACTCAAAACCAGATGAATTTCAGTGTTGTACTTATCAACAACACCTTTCGATTGATGAGAAGTAATTTCGGCTTATTCTCCTTTATCTAATCATTATGAAACTTAAACAACTTTCAATAGTTCTCCAAAATTCCAGATACGTTTCTAGAGGGGTTTCATGCAGATGTTGAACAACACTGGGCAACAAAATAGAACCCAGAAGGAGGCCATAAGCAAAAGACCTTGATACAGAACAATTGTCCCGCAGCGCTAGTTTCTGAATGCGGCCCAATGAAAGCAATAGAACCAGGATAAAACTCTGCTTCCAAGAGCAGCCTAAAACGAACCATGGAATGATCTGTCAGGGACAATAGAGCAATTCCCCCACAGGAATACTTTCAAACAAATTTCTGAGCTGCAATCTCTCCCGCTCATTAGTATCATATACATTTTCCAAAAATTTATAGACAGGGGTTTAGGATGTATGTTTCTGCATGGATTTTAATTTGGATCTGTGGTGGTGTGGGAAAGCCTTCTGTACACATTGCCAGCAAATCAGTAGCAGAGCAACAATTGGTCTTTTGATTAACCTCTGTCTCAAGAAAAAGTAAATGTACTAAGAAACTTTAAATAAATATATGAAGCAGAAGTATTTTACGAGAAAGATATTGGATAGAGGGGATAACCTGAAATAAGTCACTTGATATTAAAATGTAATCATATTTTATCTGGGATGAGAGGCTTCCTGGGCTCCTCAGAGGGAGTAATAAACTTAATAGGTAAGATGTTAAAAGAAAAAATATACCGGATGTAAAAAAAGGAACTGCATGTCCTATATATCTGTTTAGAAGCAGTCTGGTAGCTCCTCATCCGCCTAACCAATTTTATTAAAAGGCATAAGCTTTCATGAACTGCCGCTCACTTCATCAGAAGCACAGAACAGCTAAAACTCTGTGGCTATCAGCTCACGTCTCCCACTGCATGTTTCTTTCTACGTTTAAATTTTTAAAAATTCTCAACTCATAAGCAAAGGTAGCATAAGTACGAATTCCATTCCAGTCCTGTGATTCCTATGTTCTGGTAAGGCAGTTTTCCTTTACTCTGTATTTCCCATGGTTAATCATTAGGGTGGTGGCCATTCTAAAATCTCCTTAGAGCAGGGGTCCCCAATTCCCGGTCCGTGGACCAGTACCGGGCCGCGACATGCCAGCAACCGGTCCGCACAACCAAAGCCCTATCTACAGGATGCAGGCAGCACACAAAACCACGCCCCCTCCAGTCCACGGAAAAACCTCTCTCCACGGAACCGGTCCCTGGTGCCCAAAAGTTTGGGGACCTCTGCCTAGAGAACAAATCCATAGATCTGTCTATGACACAGCCTTGCATTTTTGCCTCTCCCCAGTGCTATGCTACTGATGGTTTATATGCCTAAAGCAGGGATGGGCAAATACGGTAACTTTCCAACCGATAGACATCAACTCCTAGAATGGCTGGCTCAGGAATTCTGCGAGTTGAAGTCCACAGGTCATAAAGTTGCCATAGTTGCCCACCCCTGTCCTAAAACAAAACTAAAGCAAACCACAATAGTTGTCATACTATTTGTCTTTGATATTACCCTTAGAAGACTATGAGTCCAAATACTCAGCCCCATAAACATGCTATTTATTTAATTTATGATTACACCAGAAGTCAGGAACAATGGCTGGCTCAGGAATTCCTGGAATTGAAGTCCACCATTCATAAAAGGGCCATTGTTCCCACCCCTGCTTTACACAAAAACGGGGTCACCGTCATTATATTATTATATTATATTATATTATATTATATTATATTATATTATATTATATTATATTATATTATATTATATTAATTATATTATATTATATTTATTATATTATATTATATTATATTATATTATATTATATTATATTATATTATATTATATTATATTATATTATATTATATTATATTATATTATTTCATTTCATTTCATTTCATTTCATTTCATTTCATTTCATTTGATCTCTCTTGTTTCAATGTGCTAAAAACAAGACACGACCCTGGTGAAAAAACTTAAGGAAACAACCAAATATCGGCCTATTCTTCTGTTCAGCCTCAAGACATGTCCTGCCTATGAGTCTGCTTGATGTAGTGGCATATTACAAAAATGTTAAAGTCTATAGAAAGGAGACAAGGAAGTAATCATCTCAAAAAATAAGATGTGGCGTATTTCCCACTACCACCCTTTTCCCCAAGACAACAAAGACAACTCTAACATCAAAACTAATACAAAACTAATACTTATATACAAAAGCCTATGTTTCATGTGCATAATCATTTTCAACTTGCATTGCCTTGGCTCTTTCTTTCCAGGCAGCTCAATCTCCTCTGCCAAAACCTCTCTACTAACCAAGTTGTTCCAAAATGCTCAGTTCAGAAACTTATTCAATGCTTTTGAAAAGGAGGAAGTGCACTCCCAGCCAATTTCAATAGCTTCAGTTCCCCAGTTTCTCTTGAGCTTTGTCCTGCGTGTCTCCCTATCTCCCCAGATGCAGAACGGATTTTGGTTCCAAACCTTTGGCTGAGTTGGACGAGGACCATGAAAAATTCATGGTAATTACATCAATACTCGTTTACAGTGAAAGCTGAAATGCAAGAGGGAACGGCGAGTAAATCCCTGCTGTGTGAAAGAAGAAAACAAATCTCAGCGATGTAGTAGGAAAGTCCCCGCTTCCAGACGGTAATTAATACAAACTGGGGCTCTATCCCCGTGGAAATGAGACGGAACCAGGGCAGAAATCTTCCAGTGCCACTTCTGTCATTGTAAAATATGTATTATCAGGATCCTTTCTGTCTAGAATTACTTCCCCTCTGACTTCATGTGGGTGGCCAACTGGTAGCGTAGTCTTGAAAAATAATATGAGCGATAGGACAGATTTACGCAGAAAGAGAGGAGTAGGGGGAGAATTCAGCAAAGTATGGTTGTTTTTCACTTTTTGGAGAAAAGAGGAAGGGTGGGCTATGCTTAAGACTGCTTGATACAGTTTTCAGGAGATCATTTTAATGCATGTCGTCTGCTTCGGCAAAATGCAAGTGTTTGCCCGAAGTAAAATAGAGTTAAACTCTCCTTTGTGAGTTTGGTTACTCTTCTGGCTACCAGAAGCAGGCCCACTGGAAAGGAAGGCAAATGTGTGTAAAGATGGAATTACAGTGGCTCAACAACAAATCTCAAAAGAATGAGGGAAAAAGACCTTTCATCTCTGAAAGTTCTTTCAGCATTTTCCTACATTTGGAATTAACATTACTGATGAAGCAGGGCAAACAATGATGGGGAGGGGGGAAAGCTACTTCTGTACTTGGGTTGGGGTGGAATTTGCCTTGGCATCACTTTAAACGAACACTGTAAAGAGTCATGTGTTAAACTCTGTGTCCTACACAACTTTTTCTGAACACACAACCTTTAAGTAGCTGAAGGTTGCCGGTGAATTTGGCTCAGTTCAATCAAAAACATCTGTTCCCCTGGTAAGTCTGCTGTCAGGACGTTTTTCTCATTTGGCTTTCGCTGCACCCTTTCCCAACCAATCGCACACAACTCAACGTTTGTAAATCAAGTTTGGGCTGACAACAGCAGGTCTGCATTCAGTCACCCCATCTCAGCCAGTGAGGCCACTCAACTGCTGTGAGAGCTGCTCTTAGCATGTCACTGAATCGAAGCATGTTGAGAAGAGAGAACGTTAGAGGCATCTGCAGAAATATCTGCAGAATATTTAGTGGTGTCGGAACACTGACAGATGCATCTGTCATTTCATAGCTTCAACTAACCTGCTGTCCACTGGCTTGACATAGTAAAGCAGTCCAGAAGTGACTCCAGCTCTCTCACATTGTTTTCACATGTCTCTGCTAGGAAGGCCTGGCGTTTCCTGGTCTTCATTTGGCAGGAGTGAGAAGAAAGCAAAAAAGATACATATTAAAGGCATAGAAGAGTCATTCATAACCACCAGTGCTGTTGCAGGGCACACCATGGACTAATATTTAAAGTGAAACAAAAAAAACAAAAAACAAATCGGAGGAATTCGCCATTACCAAAATAGCAAAATAAAAGAAAAAAGTTGAAAATATTTCAAGGAGGTCGTGCCATCATGATTGCTTTTTCAGGTGAGTTTCCAGGTAAAGGGTGGGTTTTGCATCATTTTAATGTTCTGCTGCTAGAGCAAAGCCCAAGTAACCCATCAGGAACTAATTAAAACGTTACCCACGAACCATTCATATTTTTCTCCTCTATTGCAAAATGCATCCTGGCTGGGAAATATGTTGTTGTTAATTGCGAAGTCGTGTCCGACCCATCGCGACCCCATGGACAACATTCCTCCAAGTCTTCCTGTCCTCTACCATTTTCTGGAGTCCATTTAACTAAATTTGGCATGGCACCAAGGTGCCCCCTGAAGAAGTCTGATAAATTGGTCCTCTGCTGAGACACCTGGTAGATGTATTTAGCTTTGGTCTTCCAAAGTAGCTTCTTTTCTGTAATCTCATCTATAGGAAGCTACAACTGGTGAAAACTAGCCTCTACCTTTACCACTAGGAAAGTACCTTTCTCCTGTATCTGATTTACTGTCTAAATCGGTATATCTTAACCTTGGGAATTTTTAAGATGCGTGCACTTCATTTCCCAGCCTGGCTGGCTGGAGTTGGAAATCTACACATCTTAAGGTTCCTAAGGTTAAGAAGCACTTCGCCCCAGCCAACTCATCGTGGCCATCTCACCATGGCCATGTTGCCATGGTCAACTCACTGCAGCCAAGGATAACTCGCTACAGGAGAATTCCATGCAGGATAACTCAGTGCAATGAATGCTATCTCCTCTGTTTTTTCGACATTATTTCTAGTGATAAAAATGGATATAATGTCAAAGAAACAGTGGCGAATAACATCTCATTGAGTTATCCTACGTGTAATTGTCCCACGGCAAGGTGGCCACAGCGGGTTGTCTCACAGTGAGTTGGCCATGGTGAGATGGCCGCATGGGAATAGCCATAGCAAGATGGCAGTGGCGAGTTGGTCACAGTGAGATGGCTGCAGCAAGTTGGCCATGGCGATTTGTCCTAGACCAGGGGTCTTCAAACTTGGCCCTTTTATGACTTGTGGACTTCAACACCCAGAATTCCTCAGCCAGGCATGCTGGCTGAGGAATTCTGGGAATTGAAGCCCACAAGTCATAAAAGGGCCAAGTTTGAAGACCCCTGTCCTAGACCCTCTAGATGACAGACAGCAAAGATGAAGTGTAATCCTTGACCAGGCAAAGCAAAAAATCTCTCTAAAGAGGTAGCTGGCTTTCATTTGCATTCTGTGAGATTAGGGATAAGTATTCAGAAAAGGAACAAAGCAAGAAGGAAGTCAGAGGAACCAAAAGATCTTGCATATATCAAAATAAACAGAAGATTTTTCTTCAGCCAGCATCTCTGCAATGAACATTGTGGAATCCAAGATCTTCTTCAAGGACATAGCAAGTAAACTGATTGTATTGATTTTATTCATAATTCTTTGTATGTGACTGTTTCCTTCCCTTGTTTTCCCTTATGTCCCCTTTTCATATCTAAAGATTGAGCTTCATTACCTTTAGCATAAATTCCTTATTTTTTTCTTTCTATTTCCCATTTCAGTTACCCCTTGTGTTTCATGAGCAGCACATGATTAGTTAGGTTCTATAATTTAGGGTTTGGGGTAGGAAGAGCCAAAGTATTTTCCTTTATTTTCTTAGAAAAGGGCTGAGAAAATGTTTTTGTGTAGAAAGTCAAAGAGCTAACCAGCATCTAATTGAGTAATACCAGTTACTGATGATACCTCACTGATGATACCTCGCCTCATAGCAATGGATGATCTCCCCCAGTGGCTTTATGTAGACATTAAACAGGAATGGAGAGATAATGAGGCATCCCACATAGTAAAGGCTGATAATAGGATCTCTCATTCCTGATCAATACCAGCTGGTATCAGTCCCTTCCTGAAGAAAACCAACGTAATTCTGTGTAGCCTATTCCCAACCCTCAAAGATTATCTAGAACAGGGGTAGTCAACCTTGGCTCTTTTATGACTCGTGGACTTCAAATCCCAGAATTCCTGAGCCAGCTAAGCTGGCTCAGGAATTCTGGGAATTGAAGTCCACGAGTCATAAAAGAGCCAAGGTTGACTACCCCTGATCTAGAAGGACATCATTGTCAGTGGCACTAAAAGCTGCCAAGAGTTCAAGTAAAGTCAGGATGGACACACTACCCCCATCCTGCTCCCTCCAGAGGCCATCAAACAGTGCAACCAATGCCGTTTTTGTCCCATGGCCGGGCCTGAATCCTGACTGAAAGGGCTTCAGTCATGTTTCATTCAGGGTCTGCTGAATCTGCTGTGTGATCACCTTCTCAACAACCTTCCCTTAAGAAGGGAGGTTGGGCATTGGAAGAAAATTCTCAAATATGGTGAGATATATCGGTGGCTTCTTATATGGAGGCAATAAATCAATGCCTCCTTAAGAGGCAGAGGAACAATTCCCTCTCTCAAGGATGAACTAACCACTGCTAGAACCCAACCACACAACCATCCCTGGAAGTCTTAGTTAGTCAAGAGGTTCTCATGGTTCTCAAAAGGCAGGTGGCTGAGCTCACAGTCATGAGAAGAACCTTGTACATTTTCTCTTAAGTCTTAAATATCTTATGGCCAGAGCAAACAGAAAGTGTGTTAAGGAGCTCAGACAGACACCTTTCTAATTCACATGGGCATAAGGAGAAAGAAATTCAAAACAATCAGATTTTAAGATGATTCTCAATAAAACTAGTTTTAGCTTTCCTGTGGCCTGTCTGGTGAAGCTTAATACCTAGAGCAGTGGTTCTCAACCTGTGGGTCGGGACCCCATTTGGGGTCGATCGACCATTTCATGGGGGTCGCCAAGCAAGGCTGTCCGCCATTTTTTTTGTCCGCCATTTTTTCCCCTTTTCCGGCTGGTGCCTTACCTCCCTTGGGCTGGGCCAGCTGGTGGTCAGCCTGCTCCGTCTCTGCCGCTTGCCAGCTATGCCTCGACCGGTGCAGGGGGCGGAACCACACATCCACGGCGCTCCCGGGCAGGGAAAGTCCTCGACTTACGACCGGTTGGGTAGTCCTCGACTTACGACCGGTTTAGTCCTCGACCTATGACCGGTTGGGGTCGCAGCATTAAAAAGGTTGAGAACCACTGACCTAGAGACTACAGCAATGGTGTTTCCTGGTGGTTTCCTCTTAGTACTACCTAGACTTGAAACCTAGGTTTTTGGATTCAATTGAGGTTGGCCAGACAGTGCCACATGAGACTGTTTCTCAAAACTTTTGGTTTTTTGCTCTTGTGTCAGAAGTCCTGAGGTGCTTCCGGGTGGAAAGGCTAACCGATGGCATCACCATTGCCCTGGGGACGCCCAGTTGCAGGCTGCTTTCATGTCCCCAGCAGGAGCTGGAGTGAAGGACAAGAGGTCAACCCCACCCCACAGCAGTTTTGGAGTCTCAAATACAGGCTTACTAACTTCCTGCCCACTCAAGTCACCATGCTTCTACTTAATGAGGAGATAAAATTTGGACAATATCATTAAGATAGTCTTCCGCATTTTGTTATAGCGCAACTGTATTATACCTAATGTTCCAGTTTAAGAACTCTTATTTGAACTAACCATGTGGGATGATCTGTAAAGAAGGGCACATTTTATTTGCAGGTTAGTCTTATAGAAATTTGCAGAAAACTCGCCAAAATGGGTCATTTGTCACTGATATTAGTAGAGTTTGGTTTATGATTGGAAGAACTGGTTAATTATCAATTATCTGATAGCGTTTTATATTTGTTGTTAGACCTCCCCTTTTCGTTATGTACTTTCCTTTCCCTAGATTGCATTTTAATTATTTTTATTCTTTGACTGGAAATAATTAAAAAAAATAATGGATAAAAATGTTTACAAGTAATTTGTTTCCCTTGGGGGAAAAAAGAAATAAAATAGATCCCTTATCAACTTTTCTTCTAAATTGAACAGGGGAAAAAAAAGGTAATTTCAATTTGTGTCAAATTTCTAAAACCTCTGTGCAGGGGAACTCCCCTTTTCTTTTCTCTTCTCTAGTGACCCGTAATCCAACTTTGGGTAACAGCCATCTTAACTTTTGAGTTATCAGCACTTCCCCTAACAACAAGTCAGTCTGAAGATTTAAGGATTCAGGGTTTTTATGGTGAGAAACATCTTTTTCCTGTTAACTGAGCTCTGTTATGAGCCAACAGTGGATCATGACGGACTTGAATGTATGCGGATCTCTTCTGTGTTCTCCACCATTCTGCTTAAATATTTTATAAATTTGCTCTACCATTTCAATTTTAATTATATGTTCTGTATATCTACTAATATATTATTCATATACATTTCAGCGTTTGATCCCCAGTAGCATTTACATGGTCTTCCCTGTGTGATGGTTAGTACTATACATCACAAAGAATTTCCAGTGCCGATGGAATTCTCACGCCGGGATTTTTTCTTTCTAAAACATCAGTATTCCAAAAAGAAGTACAAGGATACATGCAATTTTTACAGGGTATAAATAGGCTAGAATGCTGAGCTACACACAGTTCTGTCAACCCTACTTTGCCATCCCCACAGAAAAAGCACATTGCCCACAGAACAGCATAAAAAGCAATGCCACACCAATAAAGTAAATATTTTCATGCATGTACATGCATTTGAAGCAGAGGACACTCGAACTATGCACTAGCAAAATTTCTTCCAGCACAAAAGATTTAGGCAAGCTGTTCAAAGGCACAGAGCAGTTTATCTTCTCATGCAGATGTTTTATTTTTAAACTACCATATATTAGTATATTTATGTTGATGCAACCTTTCTGTATTTACATATTACGTTCATGTTTGCCTTTTGTAAG